TCCGCACCCGGGATGCGCGTCCACCAACCCTGGATCCACAGTTAGATCTCAACCAGCACTCCCCAGCTGAGGTCTCGTCCCACCCAGCGTCCCACAAGCCCTGAATCCCACGATTAGACTCACCGAGCTCGCTGCGACTGAGGTTTCGTCCCCACAAACCTGTGGATCGCCACATTAGACTGCGCAGCTCACTGCCTGTGTGGTCCCCCCCGAGCGTGCCACAACCCGCCTGATCAATTAGACTCAACCAGCTCACTGCGGTTCGCTTCCCCACAACCCTGATTCCCGCACATTGACTCACAGCTCCTGCGCTTGGCGTGTCCTCGACGCGTCCCAAACCTTGAGTCCCTAATAGCGACTCGCCATGCTCCGCGCTGGTCGTGCCGCACAACCCCGTGATCCCCAACACTTAGACTCACCAGCTCATCTCGGCGTCGTCGGGCCGACCCCAGTCGCTCCCACAACCCCTTGATGCCCACATTAGACGCTCACCATGCTCTACTGGGTCGTCCCCAGCCCCAGCGTCCCCACAACCGTCCTGGAAGTCCGCGACATTAGACTCGCCACGCGGCTCGACTGGTCGTCCCCACTCCAGCGTCCACAACCCCTGTGATTCCAATTACGAGCTCACCAGCTCACTGGTCGTCACATAGCCGCCTGAGTCCCACAGCATCAGGACTCACCAGCTTCATGCTGATCCGTACCCACCACGCCGGCTTGCGCAAATACCCTCTGAGTTCCCGACATCGTGACTCACCAGCTCCTGGTTTTCGGTACCCGCACGTCCCAGTCGTCCTCCACAACTCTGATTCCCACATTTAGACTCACCAGCCTCAGCTGTCTGTCCCCACCCGAGCGTCCCCACAACCCTGCATCCCACATGTAGACTCACCTAGCCTCACTGGTCGTCCCACCCCAGCGGCGTCCCACAACCCTGATCCCAATTAGTATTCAGCCAGCTCTAGCTGGTCGTCCCCAGCCCAGCGTTCCCCAGCAAAACCCCGTGATCGCACTGATTAGACTCACCAGCGTCACTGGTCGTCCCCACCCCAGCGGTCCTACAACCACCTGAATCCCACTCATTAGATCTCACAGTCTCACTGGTCGTCCCCACCCCGGAGCGTCCCCAAACCCCGCTTTGATCCCACATTAGCAGCGCTCGTGACTAGCCACGATGGTGTTGGCTCCGCACGCCCAGCGTCCCCACAATCCCTCTGATCCCAGCGTATTAGAGCTCAGCCCAGCTCCGTCAAGGGGTCGCGGGGCGGTGACGAGAAGGTTGTCCCACAGTCCTCCAGGCCGCGGTCCCAGGCAACCTTCGGCGCTCGGAATCGATCCTCACATTAGACTCATCCAGCCTCACTGCGTGTCGTTCCCGCCACCCAGGCTGTTCTTTTTGCCCACAACCCCTGATCGCATCGAGGCTGTCAGGATGGTCTTGGCTTTCGAGGACACTGCAGCCTGGTTCGTCCCACAGACCCCGCACACGCTCGGGGCTGTCGCCACATGGTAGACAGGCACTAGAACAGTCTCAAAGCTGCTCGCGTCGGCGCGTGGCGCTGTCCCCGCTCCGAGAGCCATCTTCCTAGGCACTGGCGAGGTGCGGGGAAGGCCATAGCAAGCTTCGTAACGGCTCTCGGCTACGCGTCGCAGACGGAGGCTGCCGGAGTTTCAGGCCATGCTGTGTGTTGCGTGCCATGCGCATTTCGTGTCACGCGCGCTCACGTTGGTTTTTGGCGCCAAGACAAGTGCCAGCGCGCTCTCCCGTCTTTAAGTGACTCTGATTTGTGTTCCGACTGTTAGAAAGTGACGGTTACGGGGGTTGAGCTGCGTGGTGGATCGCGCGAGCTGATTGGACACAAAAAAATGCGCTGGGCTGGGTGGCTCTGTTCATCCGGTAGCTGTCTCACATAGAATACCTCCAGTCGCGTGTGTGTCTTCCTTGGTCTCATGCTGGCCAGTTACATTTTTTTTGTCCCGCTGCATCAGCCACCGTCGCGCCCTGGAGGCGCGCCGTACCGCCCGCTCGTTGGTGAATATCCCAGCGGCCGGTTCGTGAAGCACGGCCGGGCCGCGTTACCCACATGTTACATAGCTGCTCTTGCGCCCTAATGCTAGTCTGGGTGGTAGAGAAGCTAACTTTGGCGCCCGAACGGCCTCTCTGGACATGATTCTGCCGGCCGGGCGGCAACGACCCCCCATGCCGTCACCTTCCCCCTGGCAGTGTAGTCGTGCTTGATCCGCTGCACTCCGCCGACCGGCAGGGATGTCGCACGGCGCCAAGTTACAAACCCTGCGAGCTGAAGCGCTGCGCGGATGGCGATCACGAGATTCAGGGGGGATGTCTTGTATTAGAGTCCTAAAACCTGGCGTGCTTCATTACTCCGCTAACGTCCGAACGAACCTAACACAGTAATCCTACACTACCTGAGCTCTGATTAAACCCATATCTAACCGCTAACAGGTATCAAATAGTGATCAGGAGTTACGGTTCCCGGAGGGCATACGCGGCCGTTACCAGGGTGACGTCTTCGCGGGCAATTACCCCTCGGCCCCGGGGACGTGCGGCATAAGACGCCTATGCAGCCCGTCTAATGAAGCCGTCGCAGACTCTGCGCGGCAGTAGCAAGGAGCTTCAGCGGTGTCGCCTTGTTCGGTTGAAGAACGTAACTTGTGGCCGGCATAGAGCGGACGCGATTGCCGCACATCCTCAACGCTTATGCGGTTCCCATGGGAAAATACCTGTTGGGTGCTCATCCGTACTGCGTCCTATTTTGCTTAAACCCGGACCCTTTTTTTCTTTTTTCGCACTGATTGTTCACAATGAGTAAGGTTTAACATCGATGCAACATGCAGTAATTAGTAAAACATAAGCAATGTGCAATAGAATTGTAAGTCACACTCTCGAAACAATCTGTAACGGTAACGCTCCGTTACTGGAAAATATACAAGTCTCAATTGTAGTATCGGTTAGACTCACAATATTAATAATTTGTTGCGATTATTTGTCCGCTACTGTCACGTTGGTCTTATTTAATTTTATTTATTATTCTGTACTTATGTTTTTTTATTTCGCTTTACGCACGCATTATTTTCGTGTAGTACATTTTCTCTTTCCTGCTTGCCAGCGAAATACTCTTATCTGCAGTAGGCAATCAGTCTACCTGTTACATCTGTAGTTCACAGAGCATACATGAAGGTATGATAGCTAGCTTTAGCGAACATCCTGTTTGTCCAACAAGGCCAATGATTGAGTGGCAGACTATAAATACTAAGTGTCGTAATATAATGCGCGGCGGATAGTGAAATAGCTTGAGATTTGTCCAGTGCTTCGCGCGATGAACGTATGTCCATAATCATACTCGCCGGCCCCCTCGGGATCGATAGGAACGCATACATCGAGCTAGCCGATAGACAACGACATTGCGATGAGGCACGGCGCGCAAACGAGACACAACAACACAACACACAACACACACAACACAATCCACACACGCAACCCACGTTTCACACACCGACAGGCACGAACTACACACACGCAAAGTATCACAGCAACCACACACACAACACACCCAGACAATACAACAAACACGACACACACGCACGCTGCGATCGGACGCATTGAAAATATTTGGAATTAAGTCTTTTCAGTGATACGCGGTGGAAAAAGATTGTATACCTTCATCTCCGTATTGCAGCGGACATCGCTCGGGTGTAGTGTGAGCGCATAGCATGAGGTGCGGTTATGAGGGGAAAGAGGAGGAGGTGGGTGAGGACGGGGAGGTGCGGGAGGGGGGACGGGGAGGAGGTGGAGGCGGGGGAGGGGGAAGAGGGTAAACGAAGAGACCGCCGCAGTCGTTTGGGATGATGCAACTCCAATGGCTGTTAGCGTAATTCTTTTCCAATGTTCTTAATGCAGTTATACAGTGTATTTTTTCTGTCGTATTCTTGATATTTCGGGCTAAGGAACAGTTCCACGAGGTTCGTGGCTTGCGTCGGCGTTTTCGCTTCCGCTCAAACGTCCCCGCGGTAGTCCAGATCTAGGATTTCCCGCTCGCGGCCATTTAGGGAAGGATTTTGTCCGAGCTCTGTGGTGCTACCACTTCAGTGGTGTGGTTGCGGTGTGTGTAAAGAGTAGTAAGCGGGGTCCTAATAGCTAGCGAGATTAAGAATATAAGTGATAAGATGGATTGAGAGAGAGGAGCGAGAGAGAGCGAGCAGCGAGCTGAGGGCGAGAGAAGAGATATAGCGAGAGAGAGCAGCAGAGTAGAGAGAGAGAGGGGAGCGCATCAGAGAAAAGAGAGAGAGGAAAGAGCGCGTACGCGCGCTGGGAACACGAAGCTGAGTCAGGGGAGAAAAGAGAGCGCGCGTTGGTGCAATGCAGTGGCTGCGAGTGAGTAGAGGTGGGATACACTACACCACTGACTATTAAATGCTATCCCGTCTTGCCATTACCCGAACCAAATTTAGTCCGGCTTTTTTGGCGAAAGCTTCCCGTATAGGATTTGCATTTTAGAAGACGTTCGGCTACTGTTTGCCACGACGACACGTTTTCTTGTTCAAGCTAGCGCGCGGGCGCCGCCGGCCGTGCGCTCATCGATACGTGTTCGCGGCTCGGCCCTGCTGCGGCCCACGCCCGGTACGGAGCCAGTCACATTGCCGGGGCTCTCGTGTTCCAAGAGAGACCTGAAGGCGTTCGCCCCGTATACCCGATACCGGCCTCTCCTCGCCTCCGGGGGACGACCAGTGAGCTGGTGAGTCTAATGTGGGATCAGGGGTTGTGGGGACGCTGTGTTCGGACTCAGCTGGGGCCGCCCAAGTAAGTGAGTAAGTGAGTGAGTGAGTTGAGCTGTAGAAAAGTCCATAGAAGTTAGTCCAGCTCTAGGGTTGCCAGTCGTGGACTGGGAGGGGGTGTCAGGCAGCTACTATAACGTAGAGTTTGACTGTGAATGATAGCACTATGATTGCAAACTGTGTGACGCGGCTTCACCTGACCCCACTGACCTCTGACCTCTGGTGTCGGCAGGCGATCTGTGGAGCTACGACTACGCGCGCGGGGAATTTGCCGTCTCGCCGGAGCCGGACACGCACGTGCTGGCGATCGAGCACTCTCGCCACCGCTGCCTGATCCTTGCGTCCGACGGCCTGTGGAACATGCTGAGCCCGCTGTCAGCGGCTGCCGTCGTCGAGCAGGCTGAACGCATGGAGGAGGAGCAGTACTGGCAGAAGTCCAACGGTAGCAAGGTAGGTGTCGCCACGTGCTTGTCTGAGGTGGGGCTGCCACCTGACCACCTTGCAGATTGTTTAGCTGACTTGGGTTTTTTTTCCGCGGGTTACGCGGAATCATAATGAGATCATTCCTCTTCCACAGGCTTCCTTCCCGAACATTAACCCGTCCTGCATGCTCGTGGACAAGACAATGGGGCGCTGGCGCAAGCGCAACTTGCGCGCAGACAACACGAGCGTCGTCACGGTGATGCTGGATCCGCAGGGACCGTCGCGCTCCACCGTCCTGCAGCGACACCTCAACCTGCTGGTAAGCGCCCCCTACCGCAACGCCCCCTACCGCAACGCCCCCTACCGCAACGCCCCCTACCGCAACGCCCCCTACCGCAACGCCCCCTACCGCAACGCCCCCTTCGTCACATGTCTTCCATGGCCACGTTGCAGTCTCATACTTTTTCGTCGATCCGTGTACAGTGATTAAAAAGTTGTACGCGTAGTGTACGTACATGTGTTATGTATACTGGAATATGTGTTATGGATACTGGTTGTTAGTGGAAGAATTGCTAGCTGGTGTGAGTTGAACTCATCATTTGTGGTAGCTGGATATCGCCTGTAGTCACTGGTAGTTGACCTGACCGTCGTCGTGTGCATTGCAGCGTCTGAGGAAGAGGAACGGATCGCTCAGTACGAGTCACCTCGTTCTCACGGACCCTTCCTCCACACCGAAGCCAAAGACTCCCCCGCAGCTGCCGCAACCCAACACACTGTGGCACTCCGCGCCGCGCATGGGCACTTCCAGTCTACTAGGTGAGCGACCCAGCCCTGCTTCCCATGTACATGTGACAAGCATTTGCTGTTCCTCCATTTAGCGTTGCTGCTACTGTTGTGTCATAATTGATGAGGTTATGCAGAGTATAGGTAGAGGCAACACTTGGGTGAGTGAGCCTTCCATCAAGCAGTAACAGTGAGTGAGTGTTGTATATAAACTTGGGTAATGCGTATACGGTCATGTCATGGGCACCGTTCTCGCGTGTGACGATTGCTTAGTTACCATGTTCGCTGGTTCTTACAGGTGCACATAAGAAATTTGCCGATAGCGAACACTCCGCATTTTCGCGGAATCCCTTCTCAGCGACCGTCCTACCACCACGTGGCAGCACCGTCGATGCTAGCGAGCAGAGTGCGTCGTTGCGGTCGAGCAGTGAAGGTGACCTCCTGCCCCCCATGCCGCCATGCGTCAATCCCAACGGGCCAATCACCGGCGCCACCTGTGAGCAGCCGCCAATTCCCGTTGCCGTGGCGACAACGCGGCAGACGACCGTGGACGTCGAGGCTCCAGGCGACCGCACGGACTCGCCGCCGCAGCCAGCAGCGTTCTGTGTCTCAGCGAGCGGTGGCGGCCCCACACGCGACGCAACGCTCGTTGCCGAAGTCATCACGGTGGACGCGTCGCCGGCACCAGGGGGCGCCGGCAGTCCCGTCCGCCCGACGGCCGTCAACAAAGTTATCCTTCCTGCAAAGTACAAGCAGCGGCTGGAGGCGAGGGCTGCAAGCGAAGCCAGGTTGTCGTCCGGGTGCGGGACACCACAAGGTGGCGCCGCCGTCGTCGCGAAGCCGCTCACTGACCAGGACTGGACGTGGAACATCGACTTTGACTGCGGGGAGATCGTTGAAATTGAGCGCGAAGAGGAGGAGAAGGCGACGACGACGACGTTAGAGGAAGCACGGGACGTCGTCGCTGCGTCGCCTCGCCTCAGCGCCCCCTGTCAGGGACGCGGCGTCGCACCGACGATGCCCGGGAGGGTGGGGGCGCCGGCGCGGCGGCTGGCGCGCTCGCGGACGCTGGGCTGTGCGGTGGAGGCGCGGCAGACAGCCGGGGCGACGCACACGCGCCGCATGGTGCTGCGCCAGAAGAGTGTTGCCGGCGTGAACAGCGTCATGAGCCGCGTGAGTGACTACGTGATGCGGCGTGACGCTCCCCCTGCTGGCTGCGAGCCGGTGCGCGTGTTTGCCGCGCACAACTCGGAGGACAAGCGGCCGGCGCTGTCCGCTGGCTGCAGCACTGCGGCGCGGAAGGCCTGCAAGCGTAAGCTGTCGCACGCGTCGCAGGAGGCTGTGCCAGCGAAGCATCGCGTCACGCGCTCACTCATCGCCAAGACAACCGGCTGCAACGACGCAGGCAGCGGCGGCCGTAAGCTCACCAAGAAACCCAGTCTGCTGCAGCTGGGACGGCAGAAGCTGCTGCGACTGACGACTCGCTCCAAGTACAACCTGCACTGAGAGCGGTGCGCGTCACGTGTCACGCAGGTTTCCCCCGCGCCGCCGCTGTCACCGATTCTTCAGGCGGCTTTGGTATGTAAAGCGATACGGTAACACGAAAAACGTCAAACACAAGAACAGAGGGCGCTGCTTCAGTACTGCGATGCGACGGGCGTGGACAAGCAGAGCACTTCTACTCAAATTTACAGATTTTTAACATGTTAGGGGAGGGAGAGGCCGTCATACCGGCGCACAGGATCCTGGGTGTGTGTGGTCTTGTAATTTTGCGAGCAAGTGGGAAATTTTTGAGTTATATTTACAGCATAGCATAAAATGTGTGTGATGTGCATAGTAGAGTCTTGTTGGCAATTCATGAATATATTTTCATGTTAAAGAAGTAGGACGTGTTATTATATATTGAATCTTAGGGAAAATAGACCTATATCCCACCGCAGCGTCATAGGCAATTTTCCGACGCGATATTGTGATTAAAAGATGAGTGCAACTCGAGCGTCCTAAAGGTGTCTTAAATATCCTGGTTTTATCAATTCAAATGTACAGTCAGTTACACGTGATTTTGATGTTATGCGTCATGTTATTGTCGACAGACTTTAATTTTTATATTGAAACTAGCAGATATTTTGGGAAGTACAATTTTTAGGAATTTTACCTGAGATTAGCATGTACTTGGACAGCTGTAAATTGCATTGTACGGTAAATTTTTTAATTATTTTCTGCCACGTGTTGATTACCAATGTCCTGTGTATTATATAGGGTTTTTTGGTTTTTAGTCCTAATAATTTGTCAGCAGCTCTATAAAGTCTTTCTCTGTCGTGTTCGATCTCGGCGGACCTTATGTGGGCACGTCACCTGTCTTCCTATATGTATTGTGCATGTTTTTTATGATAGCCTGAGGCTTGTGTGTATGTGTGTGTGTGTGTGCGTGACTGTTTTGATTGTGCCTAGGGCCCTAGGCTATATGTTAATGATTTTCCTGCAACTAGGTTACTGCTAAAAACGTATGTATGTGAGTCTAGTGTTGAGCGTGATGGAAAATAGGAAGGGTGCAGATGAAATATTGATGAATGATGAATATATGAATATATGTCAAATATAAAACAAAATATAGATATATGTCAAATATGAATGAATGATTGCAGATGAGCAAGTGTGAATGTAGCTGTGCCCGTGCGTCACGTGTGGCAGCCTCCCTCAGAACAGGGTTACAGGGGTTATAGAAAAGGGTTAAGTTGCACACCTTGCAATTACCAAGTCGACCACGTGAGTATAATAATTATATGTACTGTCTGTAATAAGTGCAAATAATCCGTCACATTGTACTGTAAAATGAGGACTATTTTTGTCAAATATTATCAACTCATTTCTGGACCATTTTCACTTTAGTAATTCGTGCATGTAGTTGCAACATTAGAATTTAATAATATACAATGTATAATCACTGAGCTGTATTGTTTTGACTATTTATGAGTGAAGCTAATACTATTCACACATCATTTTTACATTCAAATAAATTGTAAAGCCATCCAAAATATTTTTGTAAGTAAACTCCAAATTATGCTGAAATTAAAAGAGATTATTTTTAATCCCACAAGTCTATTTTGACCCATAACCCATACCAGATGGAAACAAAGAGACAGAGTTGAAATATCATTACAAAATTGGATTTATTCCATTATAAAATTATACAACAAAGCTATGATGGATCTTCCATTAACTAATGTGGTCGCTGTATCTGTAAAGCATATGATCAGTGAATACATATATTTAAATTTCGTTTCTTTTGGCATTTTGGGATTCAATTTGTAATAGCTGTCAATATCATGATTTTACATGTAGGTTCGCTCGTCAGACAACATTATAGCAAATCAAGTAAGTAAGCATTTACAATGCAAGCATAGAGTAGCCTCCCTGTTTGGACACTGCATCTGCGTAACAACTCGACTAACTCGCACCCAATCTTGATTGCCGGATACATGTAAATTGTGCTCAGTAGCTGTTTCCAGGCATCGTTAGTGCCTTATCCATGAAGCGTCTCTTTGCAAAGCACAGCCACCACTGTAATGGAATAAGGGCCAAATAGCATTACGAACTATAAAGTGCTAGACCAAATCTATATTGATACACCATAACCCCCGGGGAAGGGGGCACCCCCTACAAAATAGGGTAGGTGTGTGTCCATTGAGAGATGAAATGGGAGGCTCCGGTACTAACTCAGCACATTGAAATGGGGGTCTCCGGAACAAGGGTTAGCTGAAAATCATGATGCTCCAGAACTGGACATGTTTGCGAGAGGGGGTCTCCGGAACGTGCGGAAAAAAGGAGGACCTATGCTCCGAGATGGGAAATATGTGAAAAGGGGGGTCTGGTGCGGGTATTTTGAGGTGTGCGCACACCTACCATGGACTATATAGGGAGTGCCCCCCACTCCGGGCCATAACCCATATCAGGTGCTGTCTTCCCCTTTGATGTGCTTGACGTATGCACACGATTGCACATAATTAATTCCAAAATAGCCCACCTACCTTGGTAGGTTTGTCCGTAACAGGATCAAAGACTTTCTCGGACACCCTCACGCCCGTTTCTTGTCGGATCTGTAGGATGTACAGACGCATCGTCTCTGCAAGAAACGGACACGCGTCGGAATGAGGTGGGATTGAGCGCGAGTCAACAAGCATTCCATGATGGCAGCTGTACTAAACCACATCAGAAGTCATGGCAGAATCTGGTGAAGCAACAAACCAATTAGAACAAGGGTCGAGTTGGCAAAATCTGAGAAATCTGGGACATTCTTTTGACAGGGGGCGCCACTAACTACGGTGAGCGTCACCTTCTTCATTGCGGTCAGCGGGTCGAGCAAATATTCCGTTAAGCGGGAATCCAGCCTCGCCTGGAATGTCGAAGCGCTGCAGAGCGAGTGTGTGCATCTCCTTGAGCGCCTGATTCTTGGAGCCGCACTGTAAGCAGACTACATAATTACACCCGGCCGTTGTGACGAGATCGCGTGATCCGCGTAGATCTGACCTTGTGACGAGATCACGTGATCCGCGTAGATCTGACCTTGAGATTCAGCGGTAGTTATGTCGGGGAAATATCTGGACTGACGGCAATAAGCATTGCTCGGTTAAAGCCGTAGTAGTATACGAAACTCGTGACTAGTTTTGAACATCGTGTGTAACATCGTAGCAGCTCTTTACTGTGCAGTGGGATGAATAGGCTATAATTGCCTTACACACGTGCTAAAGAAAAGCTTGTAGCCCGACATGATCTGTACACTCACGCAGAACCCAAACACTCATTGTAATGTAAGGAGCTACCAGCAGTCATGAAGACGGTTGTTAACTTATCACAATGTACACCCGTAAGGCATGTATGCATGTAACGGATCTAGGCTACAGGCACTCACCTTCTGCAACTTCTTTAAAGTCTCTGTGATGTAAAGTGTTATATAAATAAGGGTCCTATCTGCTTCACTCTGAAACGGAAAGGGATTGATGTTTGTTTCTTTACCGCAGAACATATAAGATGCGTGAACCACACTAACACACCATCCTCATGACATCAGCTTGTTCTGTCATCGATTAGAAAATTGCAAATTATGTCTATTTGTACTACGTACCTTTATTTCATAATTTCTGAAGAAGACATTTGCTTTGAAGAAGTAGATAGCCTCATCAATGATATCCGAGTCACCAGCTGTGAGAGAAATAATCATATTACTAATATCATGAACATCTCTCTCTCTCTCTCTCTCTATATATATATATATATATATATATATATATATATATATATTAGAATATTAATTAATATTAAATATTGATAGAGTATATAGATATGTACATGTTAATACATATTACCTGATTAAACAAAAAAAATAATCTGGCCAATCACAGACAGTGCTATTATCACTTATATATTTTATAGTAGCAAATAGCTACAAGTTATTCTCAGAGCTACACCAGTCATAGGGGAGGGGGAAAGGAGGGGGCTCTAATAGCAAAAGCAGTTCAGTCCTTTGTTAACAGTCAACAAATCCATGTTTAACCCTCCTCTTGAGGGTCAAAAGGTTATCCGACACTTACTCTTCGCATGTCAGCGGAAAGTACATTTCATGGTCCTTTTAATAAAGCCATAAAAATGGTAGGTCACCGCTGAAACAAAATTTTTTTCAATCGCTCCGTTAGACCATGTCCTCAGAAAATGTGTAAAATCGGCGCCTGTCCCGCCATTGACCTTTGACCTGTGACCTCCAATTTCGACACAGTGATGGCTTTTCCTACCATGATGCTATACACCAACTATACGAGCTAGGTCAAGCGTTTAGATTTGTGCCGGCAATCTGCATTTCCTCCTATACCTTAAGTTAAGGAGGAAATGTTCCCCTTCTTTACACCCTTTGACTCCCCAAGCTTCGACATCCCCCAACTCGTATTCGGATTATACCGCCCACGTCCCGAATATCGTGACGCGTACGTCGAGCCATTTAGATTTGTGCCAACTGTTGCGGATGGACGGACGGACGGACGCACGCCACATGCACGCACGCACGGACGATCATGCGATTCTACAAGCTGCACCTGACTTTGTCAGATGAGCTAAAAATATAACAAAACGACAGTTGGTGTACTTAAACTACATCCAGCTGCATACCTTCTTTAGGTGCCGGACCCTTGAACTGTGTCTTGAGAGGCAGCATGGCCATGTTACCTACCTTAAGCGTAGACGTCAGGCTTGAATGGTATGCCTGCATGTGCAAAAACCGATTAGGTCATTACATCTAATACATACACATATAGAGTAGCGGGAGGAGAAAGGAGGGAGAGAGAGGGCTGGAGCTAAGGAGAGAGAGGAGAGAGCTTAGAGGGTAAGAGGAGAGAGAAGAGAGAAGAGAAGAGCAGAAAGGGAGACGAGGAGGAGCAGGCAGGGAGGAGGACGAGAGAGGAGGGAGAGAGTAGGTGAGATACGAGGAGAAGAGATAGGAGACGAAGAGGAAAAGGCTAGGAGCGTAAGTAGACGAGGAGAAACAGAGTAGGAGAGGTGAGGGAGAGGGAGAGCTAACGGCTTGTGACCTCGGTGTCCTACGCTCTTGCTACAGGGCTATATGAGCAGCAGTGCTAGAAAGCAGCAGTGAACCTTTGCAGCATGGCAGACTAACTGGTAACCCATATTTAATTCATTCATGGTTGCGTAATTGTGTTTTTGGTTTGTTTGTATTAGAGAAAACTCCCTTAACCTGATCAGACCACAGTAACTTCAGTTTTAATTTCCCAGGGTGGTCAGGCTTTATCAGTAACGTTTATCTTGCCACAGGACAAACATTTCTTATTGTATCACATGGCCACAGCTGTCTGCATGCCTAAACCCAGCAGCTGTCATCAAATTAGCTTTGTGATGCCGCACGCAAAGAGCCACACGGTAGAGCTAAGTAACATAGTATATATATATATATATATATATATATATATATAGATATATATATATATATATATATATATATATATACTACGCGAGAGAGAGAGAGAGACGTAGAGAGAGAGAGAAGAGAGAGAGAGAGAAAGAGAGAGAGGAAATAAATAAAACCGTTACAGATATCAATGAGGTCCATAACATGACATTATGACAGAGATGCAAGTAAATTCAACTTGTCGAAGAAAGATAATCACAGAAAAGACATCAAGCACGAGGAAATTCACTAAAGATCTATGCAGAAGAACCACAACATCAATAAGGAAATATTTTACTTCAAGAATTGTACCCATCTGAAACAGTCTACCTGAAGCGATAGCGAATGCACCCACAAAAAACTCGTTCAAAAAGATAAGACTTAAATAAATTTTGGGTACTCAAGAATACTATATGACATTTTAATGCAGACCATCAGAATGTGGCAACAGAAATACACTATGGTAGTATGGAATGACTTAATTGTAGAGACTAGTACTGGTGAGGAGCACTAATGGACCTGTACCAGAAACAAAATGCTAATTAAAAGTAATGCTAAGTAATAACTATATTGGTTAGCTAGTATGTACTAAGCTACTGTTACTAGTACTCGAACTACGAGTGGCATTTGTACTCTAGTAGTATAGTAGTAGGTGTCTGACTAGTGCAGTGCTAGTTGTAGCGCGGGAGAGGGCGGTCAATTCCATGACAAGCAGTGCTCGAAATAAGCGTTGTCCGGTTGTCGAGACAACGCAGAATTTGTGCCGGACAACCTAGCCAGTCTGAGACATTGTCCGGTGGACACACAAGAAAAAAGTTGACGAAAAACGACTTTATTTATGTTTTCTCAGGGGTTCTCCATGATGCACTTAATAGCCTGGGGCCCGCATTAATCTATGGTGTGGGAAAGCAACGCATACCAGCTGCTTTTCCAACACTGGTATATGTCAGGTTTTCTGATTTATGAGAGGTGAACTCGATTTGGAACAGCAAACAGCAAGTTCACCCCTACATTTTGGTATTTTATTCCGCATTATTTTTTGAATTTTCCGATGGCCTTTGCCCATGCAAACAAACAGACATGGCAGTGGGGATTCATGTTGATCCGAAAGTTCAAAAAAAGAGAATTGTTGTAGTCAGAATGAAGGCTGTACATGTACCTCAAAAGTGCTGCAAATACGCATCTCCTGCGATCTACATTTATCAAAATTTCTGGGAGGAACCCCCATACCCCCCCCGCTTGGTTTTCCCCTCCTTGAATCCGAGACCCGCCACTGAACAATACATATCTTGGGAGCAGAGAACAAGGAACAAATGTCGCCTTTTCCATGGCACCCAAAACAAAGATTGCAGAGAAGGTAGATGACTGTAGGTGGAGAGGGGAGCGAGGAGCCATTAAATATTAAGTCATCACTATTTTGCGGCAGTTTGCTGTTTTTGGCCACCCTTGTTAAAAAATCCTGGCTACACCACTGTTTTTGGGTGTTTTCTGACGCATATTATTATGTGATTGAAATAGGAGATTTGGGGATATTTTTTTGGGACAACCAGAAATTGTTGCGGACAACGCCTGATTGATGCCTGGGTTGTCCGCAGGACAACCACATTTTTTTCTTATTTCGAGCACTGCAAGGTGTGGTGTTGTCCCCGGGGGTCACTTATATATGCCGGTATTACCCCATGTGAGTTCCAAATTTTGCGGTTAGGGGTGTTTTCAACTTCTAAAGCGGGCCCGCGCGCGGAGCAAATAGGCCCCCTTTAAAAAGGCTAATCGCAATAAGCCTCGGATCGTTCAAGTCAAGCACCGCGCCCGCAGTAAGCCCCCCTCACGGGCCCCCTCCATTCCGCTCCACTCTTTGCCCTCCACTTGTCTGCAAGACCTCGCAATAGGGGGTAGGGTCCGGGTAGGACTCTTTCATTGTGTATGCAATAGGGGGTGGGAATATTTTCATTGTGTATGCCATACACCCATTGACAGTTTAACACTGCGCATGGCGCTTAGTCTAAGGTCAAAGGTTCGGAGAGGAGTTTCCGTCCGAAAGCGCGAGTAAAATGCGGCGAAACAATGGCGTTAACGTGTAGTGTGAAGGCTGCTCAAACGGATCGTATTGGCTTAAGAAAGACTTTTAGAGCATGCATTGACCATAATTTCAATGTATCAAGTGTCATGTCACATCAGGTCATCCATTATCGGTGCTCTATTCCTGCTACATGCACTGTTTCTCGACACAAAGGTGAGCGACCTGCGTATGCAAGGCAGGATAACCATCGAGATAAACAATATGGCGGAGTTTACTCGCAATCCGGGCTTCTCGCGGAGATGCTAACTAATGGCGCAGACACAGAGCGCAGAACGTCAATGGTTATAGGGGTGGTATCATTCTTCAATTGTGTCTGCAATAGGGGGTAGGGTTTTCCAATGTGCAGTTTCGCACTAGGGGGCCTATTATTTTTAGTGAGAACGCACATGGGGTAATACCGGCATATATATGACCCCCCGGGGGTGTTGTCATACATAGACTCATAGTCATACTAGTCATACGCTATACTGATTGGGTGTGAGTCACAACTGACACTGTGACTGAGACAGTGACAGTGTGGTATGTGGACGTGAGTGCGTGACAAACAAACTGTTAGCGATGACAAGCACAGTCAATTGCGTCGAAAGGCGGAGTCTAAGCGAAACAAATGTAACAATTACTCAGATAGACATTTTTGTACTTACTGGCATTGTGATCTCTTTTGATACAAATATTAACAACTCTCCGAAACACAACACCCTTTCCTGTACAGTAGTGCCCTCTAACGCGAAACGGCACGAAAATATCTGTGAAAGAGGCAGCACCGTACTGTCTTGCTGAGAGCAAGGAGCTAGACGCCAGTGACTATGTTGTAAATGTCGTGTGTAAATAATCGTTCGTTCAGTTGGACACGCTGTTGCGCGCGTGTTTGAACTTATGAGCATGATCGATGTATTCTGCTAGTCTTTTATTTATAATTCACGGTAGAATATGCGTTATGCCCAGTTAGTAATCGGTCCTGCTGGCAGCGGAAAGGTAAATAATAGTGCTAGCTCTACTACTTTTACTGTTTTAGTACTACTCAGCCTCTACTCTCTACTAGTACTAGTACTACTACTAGTACTACTACTAGTACTAGTACTACTACTAGTACTACTACTACTACTAGTACTACTACTACTACTAGTAGTAGTACTCACTAGTACTAGTACCTTCGGCAACTGTACGCGGCTATAGTATCTAGAGTAGAGCTAATAAGGCATTGCAAGAGACTTCGTGCAAGAGCAACTCATTTGTTTTCATTGCTCCTGATCACTTGCACTGGAACTCGCCAGTCAAAGGGTCGTTGTCGTAACAGGTACTACAGATATGTACCGCGAGTACATATCTGTATACACAAATGTACCTGACCAATGTTGTTTCTACATAACCGTACCGCTGCGCTCCATTTACGTACCTCGGCGGGAAGTATCGTGAAGTCGCGTGGTATTGTCGTAAAAGCCGGAAATCGGTCCAGCTCACCGTGGGTGTTGCTATCCCCCGGGCGTAGAGGGACGGTCACGTGATACAGTTGACGTATACTTCAAAATGATTACTAATACGGTAACGATAACTCCAACACCTCCAACGGGAAATCTTACACTAAATATATATATCTCGTAGCGCTTTATATAGGCGGTGTGATCCACAAAAATTAATCTATGGTGTGGGGACAGATATCATGATGCAAAAAACTCTAACCCTAACCCTAACCCTAACCCTAACCAGTAACCCTAACCCTAACCCTAACCCTAACCCTAATCCTAATCCTAATCCTAACCCTAACCATAACCTAATACTAATACTAATACGAATAATATTAATCCTAATACTAGTGCTGCCATCGTGCGGCGTCCCTCCACGCCCGGGGGATAGCAACACCCGCCGTTCGCGCCATGTGAATATATTCCCGCCGAGGTACGTAAATGGAGCGCAGCGGTACGGTTATGTAGAAACAACATTGGTCAGGTACATTTGTGTATACAGATATGTACCTCGGGTACATATCTGTAGTACCTGTTACGACAACGACCCTTCGTGCGCAACTGCAACGTGCAAGGGACCAGGAAAGAAGGGACTAAAGGGTTACAGAGCATGCACTGATGCAGGAGCATACACACAGAGAGCTAGTACATGCGAGAGCATGCAAGTACGGCAAATACTATAGTACAGTAAAACTCACATAAGTCGCCATCGCCTAACTCGTCAATTCGCATAAGTCGTCATGGAAATCAAAGTCCCA